GCTGCCACGGCCGCAGCTCCTCCGCCCGCAGACACCGCCGCTACAGCCCGGCAGGCGAAAGGAAGCGCAGTCCTAACGCGAGTCCCCGCGGCTGCTGGGAGAGTGAAGGCGGCGACGCTCAGACGCGCCCTGGGCACAGGTCCGGCGGAGTTTAGGTCTCCAGAGCCGGCGCCGCGAGGGGCCTCTGCCTCCCTGGCCGCGGGGCGCCGAGGCTGCCTTTCTCCGCGTCTCCCTTTCCGCTGCTGCCCCCAGGAGGCCGCTGGTGACAGGCACACTCGCACACGCACGCGGGAGCCGCGCCCCCGGCGGCCGCAAAGTTGTGGGTGCGCACACGACTCGCGCCTCGCGGGCGCCGGGCGAGCAATCTGCGGGCTGCGGCGGCCTGGGCGGCAGCTCGAGACTCCTCCGAGCCGGGCGGGACTCGCGGGAGCGGACGGCGCTCCGGGCCGTGCCCTTCTCCGCCCAAGCCTCCGCCCCTGCTCCGCGAGGAAACGCGGGGCTGGTCCGGGAAGATGGATGCCTCTTGTGGCCAACCGCAGCCCAGCCCCGCGCGCAGAACCCAGGAGGCCGTGGGCGGCGCCCCCCGCACCTCCCTCCGCCGACGCTCAGCCCAGCCTTTGGCCGCGGTCGCGGCTCCAGGAGCAGGAAAACCCCTTCCCGACCTGAGGGACCGCCTTCGGGCTCTGGAGGGGGCTCTGGTGGGGCTTTTGCCAGAATCTAAACGGGAAGTCCAGAGTTGGGTGTCTCCATGACAGAAAGGGGTGTTACTCCTAGACGGGGAACCCCGATAGAAAAACTGAACACTGAATTGTGAATGACCTGGTTGTTAATCCAAAGAGCGAGAAGCTTTTTAATCGAGACTGAGAAAAACACCCACCTTGAACTCCATATCCTCTGTTCTTACAAGTGCTAGGGAGGCTAGGATGGTGGGAAAGCAATGGCATGGGAACAGGTCACACTTAAGGTGTTGTTAGCTTACTTATTTATTTACTAAACTCCAGATTTTATTCCCATTTTACCAGTTTTTTTCCCCTGGTGTCATTTTTTTCCGTTTCAAGATCCAACATAGGATACCACATTGCATTTAGTACTTTAACGGTTGGGGTTTTGTTTTGTTTTGGTTTTGAGGGGGGTGGGGGGTTGAGATGGAGCCTCACTCTCGCCCAGGCTGGAGTGCAATGGCATGATCTCAACTCACTGCAACCTCCACCTCCCGGGTTCAAGCAATTCTCCTGCCTCAACCTCCCAAGTAGCTGCGGCTACAGGCACCTGCTACCATGCCTGGTTAATTTTTGTATTTTTAGTAGAGACGGGGTTTTTTGCCATGTTGGCCAGGCTGGTCTTGAACTCCTGACCTGAAGTTGATCTGCCCACCTCAGCCTCCCAAAGTGGTAGGATTACAGGTATGATCTTCGGCGCCTGGCCATGTTTTTCATATTTTACAAGATCTATCGTATATAGTCTCGTTTTATTTTGTTTGTTTGATTTTAGTACAGATGGGGGTCTCTCTATGCTGTCCAGGCTGGTCTCAAACTCTACTGTCTAGAATGAAGAATTTACCTTGCTATCCTTGCATGGTTCAGGTATTGGATTTAAGTTCTTTAAATCCATCTTTGCCAGCCTTGTAAAAAATTTTTATTGTTTTTATTTTTTGTAGAGATGAGGCCTTGCTATATTGCCCAGGCTGGTTTCAAACTCCTGGCCTCAAAAGATCCTCCAACCTCAGCCTCTCAAAGCACTGGGATTATGGGCATCAGCCACCACGCCTGGTTTTGTTAGCCTTTTTGATTCACGCTTACCTCTTGAGATATTTACTGACTCCTTTCAAATCAATTCTCAAATGTTATGGGCCTGATTTATCTAAATGATGTGTTCAAAGATGTGTCCCCTTTCAAGTGTTTCCCTGCAAGATCTAAAGAAAGCAGGAACTTTTAGACTTTGATCATTTCTTCATGTATTTAGTGATCGGCTTTCCCGTTCTTAAGTGTGTGCCAAACACCAAGCTAGGAACTAGGGATTCAGAGATTAAGACTTCCGGAAAGGATCACACAGTCTATTGTTGTATAAATAAATAATTACAAGCAGAACAATAATGCTGTAAGAGAGAGAAATGCTCCCAGTCTTGGGAGCACTGAGGATGGAAAAACAAACTGCATAAGAGGTTTGGGTGTAAGAGTTCGCAGAGGAGTGGTATTTAAGCTGGATTTAAAGGATGAATTGTAAGTAGCTGGCAACCTTAGAGAGGAAAAGGGATGCATTCCAGGGAAAAGGAAGAGTGTTATACTCCAGAGGAATTGCAAATAGAGTGACAAGATATCTTCCACTAAGATACCAGATCTCTGATAGATGGTGAAAAATAACCAAAATAATTTAATATATGCATGTGTCAGCTGACAGTGTGTAGACATTGTTAATTGCACTGCTTTTTTAAAGTATAATTTTTAGGAAGTCTTTTTACTTTACAACAACAAAATATATGTAAAGAAAAAAATGCCAATTTTTTTAAGGTTTTTTTCATTTTACCACACAGGAGGTTATACTATGGCACCCCTAGCTGCCCTTTTTTCACGTGGAGCTGTCTTATGTGAGTGTATGCTGAAGAGCCAGAAAGTCCAAAGCAGAGGCTGGAAAGGAAGGTTAGAGCCAGCTGGGAGAGTCCTCCTGTGCCATGCTGAGATCTTGGACACGGTTCTGCAGACAGCAGGGAGCCTTTTAAGTAGAGAAGTATCACGATCAGATTTGTGTTTTATAAAGATAACTGTTGGCAGTGTGGAAGGATGGGTTAGCCATGGAGAAAGAGACCAGGCAGGCAGCCCACTTAGGTGATAATCATAGTCACATCTAAATGGGATTCATATATATCCATGGTGCTGTTGAGATTTGTTTCATATTTGCACCTGGGAAGCACAAGTTGAGAGCAGATATTGCAGTGCTTAGAAATGAATTGTTGCCTGAGTCTAGACCTAAACCAGTGTGGTACAAACAAGCCCCAGAGACAGGGTGCCCAGAAGTGAATCCTAAATCTGCTGTTTCCTAAGGGATCTGGTAAAAATTACTATTTCTCTCTAGGTCCTACTTTGCAAAATGGGTTTCAAACTATCCTCACCTATAAAATTGGTTAATGCCTAAGTACTGGGGATGTTATAAGCACTTACTGAGATAAACCCTTAGAAGTACTTGTAGGCCGTGATATACACCCAGTGAACGTTAGTTTTCTTTATTATTATTATCTCAGTTTTATTCTTCTTAATAGGAAGCTACCTAAAAATCAGAGATAGCCTGTAATTTATACACTTAGAGGTGGGAGGCTTGCTGGAGTCTGGAAGTACAAGACCAGCCTCAGCAACACAGCAAGACCTCATTTCTACAAAGAATAAAGATCAGAGATAATATTACATCTTTAATTTTATTATGGTGTCCAATACACAGTCAATAAATGTATTGAATATCAATGCCATCATTAGTAGGCCACCATTTTATTGTTGTTGAAGATGGGATATACCCACTAAGGTAAGAATTTTGCACACATTATCAGAAGAATCCTACATGTGGACACCATTGTCCTCATTTTACAGATGAGAATCTGGAGGCTCAGAAGGTTAAGTAAAAGTCTGGCCTGGCAGCGTCGGAATTCCAGTTCGCATCTGCCTATTTCCAAAGTAGGTACTCTTTCCAATTGTCCATTCTGCTTCCTAGGAACTTATGATTCATTTAAACTTGTGAAGTGAATTCAAATAAGTCAAATATGTGTGACTAACTCATGGGTTTCTATTGATGAATCTCTTTTCTGATCCAGCTGTTCAGTGTAATTAACAAGTCTATTAGTCTTTCCATAATTTTCTTTTTGTTTTTGAGATAGAGTCTCACTTGTCCAGGCTGGAGTACAGAGGCATGATCTTGGCTCACTGCAACCTCTGCCTACTGGGTTCAAGTGATTCTCCTTCCTCAGCCTCTCAAGTATAGGTACACACCACCATACCCGGCTAATTTTTATATGTTTAGTAGAGATGTGGTTTTACCATGTTGGCCAGGCTGGACTCAAACTCCTGGCCTCAGGTGATCTGCCCTTCTAGGCCTCCCAAAGTCCTGGGATTATAGGCATGAGCCACCACGCCCACCAGACTTTCCATAACTTTATCTTTTCAGGTTTCCTTTATCTTTCCCATAGCTAATAGCCCATTTCAGTTTGCAAAGTTGGGTATGGAGAATACTTGTGACTTTAAATCCAGAAAGCCAAGGCGACCCAAGTTTGGGAGACAGGAAACCCTGGTTCTGGCTCTCACACTGGTTCTCTGTGACTTTGCTCCACCTTGTGGTAGCTCTTTTCTAGCTATAAAACAAGAAAGACTGCACTTGGCCCCAGAAAACCTGCCTCTCTCCTGCCACACTCCCTTTCTTTAGGGTCAGGTGAGAAATTTGGAGTGCCTGATGGTTGGGACCCCTGCTACATACTAATGTACTCTGTTATCTAGCGTGATCCTTTTTAGACCACCTCCAAGTTTCCATATGTAGAAGTTAATTTACCTCTTGACCATATGCCCTGACATTAGTGAGAGTATGCATGGGAGTCCCTTCAGCCATAAAATAAATCATGTGACCTACTGCAACATCACTTTGGCCCAGTGGTAAATAATTAAAATTATTTTCTAAAAATTAACACAAATTTTAAAGAGTCAATGCCAAATTCATGCAGGTTTTTTGTTTGTAGGTTTTTGTTTTTTGTTTTTTTTTTGTTTGTTTGTTTGTTTTTTCCATTTATTTATTTTATTGCATTTTAGGTTTTGGGGTACATGTGAAGAACATGCAAAATTGTTGCATAGGAACACTATTTACACATATTTTAAATCTTAGGCCTTTATTGTTTCCAGTGGCCCACTGGAAGTAAGTTAGGGGCAGAGGTTAACAACTGAATGTCATCATCTGTAATATTATATAACAATCTGAGAGCCCTAAATGAATTCTTATGATTCTCCTAAGTACCTGCTACTTAATGTAAAAAGATGACTCCACCCAGGGCACTTGAGTTTATATTTCTCCCTAGAACATCATCATATATCAAGGACAAGGTGAGATTGTTCTTATTCTGTGGGAAAGAAAAACTACCTTCGTAGAATGTTCCATCTTATTTCTTCATATTAAATCTAATAGCTAGGAAATGTTGGGCAGATAGAATGAAAGTTGAAGAATTAAGGGCATTGAGAACATGCAAAAAAAGGAAAAAAGAAAATCAAGCAAAAATGTGGTGGTGAGAATAAGAAGGCAAGAAAATCGGGAATATTGTACAAAGAAATAAGGGTAGCAAAGAGGGAAGAGAGACACTAACTAATAAAAAAAAAAGTTAGTAACCATTATATTTGTTGGCAAAAGTTAATAATTTTTATTTAACTTCCAATAACATTGATTTTTTACCTCCTAGTGGTTTGGCAACCTGGTCACAATGGAATGGTGGAATGATATTTGGCTTAACGAGGGTTTTGCAAAATACATGGAACTTATCGCTGTTAATGCTACATATCCAGAGCTGCAATTTGTAAGTTCACAATTCTGTGTGTCACACCATATAGCATAAAGAATCATCAATTCACTATTAAAATTTCAAAGGAATGTTAAAGAGAAAAACTACTTAATGTTGTGGCTTTTGAACATATGGCATTTTGTTTGATATGCAAAACAGATCACAGAACTGAATGAAACATTGAAGGTTTTAGAAAACGATTAATATAAACCTGTCACCCCAAAGTTTGTGAACAGAGAAGGCAAACTAACCCAAATGTAGAGCTGTGTATGTGAGGTGACAGGAAAGAACGTCACTGTTTGTATATATCCACACAGGAATGCCCATGGCTAGTAGGTAGGATACAGAGTTATTGGCATGTAACCTGAAATCAACATCACTGGGGGTGTACTTTTCTAGAATTTCCAAAGGATCTGCTGGCTTCCCCAAAATGTGTGAAGGGATTTATTCAAGTATGTCTTTTTAAAAATGCATGTGGTGGTCTGAACACCATCTAAATTTGAATATCAAGGTGGTTAGTAATAGTTAAGTAGGTCTTTGCGGTATATATTTAGTCCAGTACACTATAGACAGACATGGATTCAGAGTTAGGCTCCTCTTGTTACTGTGTATGTTCTGAATTTGTGGCTTAATGCCAAAGCTTTATATATTCTCATTTGTAAAATACATATGCTGCATCTCCCTTGCAGAGGTGTCGACAGGGTTTCAGATGATAGGTCTAGGCACATAACAAGTATTCACTAAATGGAAACCATTATTTTATTCCTGTATTCAAGGGCTGGTACATGGTGAACATTCAGGCAATGTCTGAAGGAATGTTGGATTTGAATCATTTTAAAGTAGAGAAACGGGAAAGGGGAATACATAAACAGAAAGAAACATCTTGCAAGAAATATTGATTGAATTCTTACCTCTAAGAACATCTTACTAAGCCTACTGTGTTTTCTATTGCTTTTACAGTGTCCAATGAAAACTAAAACTGAATATTTTTCACCCTGTTTAGGATGACTACTTTTCGAATGTGTGTTTTCAAGTAATTACAAGAGATTCATTGAATTCATCCCGCCCTGTCTCCAAACCAGCAGAAACCCCGACTCAAATACAGGAAATGTTTGATGAAGTTTCCTATAACAAGGTAGTAAATATCACATGCAGGTGGCAGCTCTGCTTTTAGAAGAAATATAGTAAGGACTATAAAATCAGCAGTTTAAGTCATTGATGCCAGCTCCTGCTACTTATTTCACTTTTTATTTGTGCATTTTTCAGACATCACACATGTTCCATAAAATTTAAGCTTCCTTTAAAAACATATCTTTTCTTTATCTTTTTTAACTCTTCTTCTTTTTTTTTTTTTTTAAAGGGAGCTTGTATTTTGAATATGCTCAAGGATTTTCTGACTGAGGAAAGATTCCAGAAAGGAATAATTCACTACTTAAAGAAGTTCAGCTATAGAAATGCTAAGAATGATGATTTGTGGAGCAGTCTCTCCAATGTAAGTCACATGTTGGGTAACAGCAGACTGTTATTTAATCTAGAAAGTAACAGAATAATTGTGAATGTTTATAAATAGTCATGTATTGTCAGTCAACGATATTTATTCCGCTTGCTAGGTTGTCATGGTCCACAGAAGAAGCACTTCCCTTTTTCCTCTGATGCCACACTAGGATGTCATGCTGGGGTGGTCCCAGGGACTCACTATTTGACCTGACTTTCTTTGATTTCTCTTCTATGGCTAATCCTATACTTTTATGTTCCTTTGATCCAAAATCTTTAATAACGTTGCAATTTCCTACCATATAACACCTAATCTTCTCTGGCAAATTTTAAGGTTGCAACCTCATTCCCTAATATGTGTTATTTGTCAAGCAAAACTAATACTCTCCCTCATAAGAAGAAATCTTGCTCAGTCCCTATATCATTTTGCCTTTACTCTAATGCTTTACTAACTGAAATGCCCTTTCTTCTTTCCAACAATTCAAATGCTATCTTTCAAGATCCAGCTGAGACTTCGCCTCCTCCTTACAGACTGTTCAGCCCTCATTCATTTGCCTGTCTCCTAAATTTTTAGAAGTGCACTTATAATCTGTTCCACATAATAGCACCCTTTTATTGTTTTTATCAGCTCAATAATAATAATGTGCTTAAGAACAAAAATTGTGTCTTTTTTTTCAATACAATAGCACCTAGCATATGTTGATCCCATAATAATGATTAATAAGTAGTTAATGGTCGATTAAATAACTCATGGTCTCTTTGTCTTTGGGATTCATGTAGATAATAGGAAAGACAAAGCAGAAAAATTCAGTTAATTCAGATGATTCTAATAATTATTAAAATATTTAAAAATTTCCAACTGCAAAGAAAATAATTTTTTTATAGAATCATTAGACCCGGAGAACTCATACCTGCAGGTAGAAGAACCCTAAGTCATTGTAGACAGGAGAGATCCTTTCTTTTTTATAAGCACTTGTGTCCCAGGGACAGTAATAATACTGCTCAATATTTATGTAGCAGTTTACAGTTTAAAAAGAACTTTCATGTCCGGGCACAGTGGCTCGCACCTGTAATCCCAACACTTTGGGAAGCCAAGGCAGGTGGATCACTTCGGGTCAGGAGTTAAAGACCAGCCTGGCCAACATGGCAGAACCCCGTCACTACTAAAAATATAAACATTAGTTAGGCATGGTGGCGCCTGCTTGTAATCCAAGCTACTTGGGAGGCTAGGGCAGGAGAATCACTTGAGCCTCGGAGGCAGAGGTTGCAGTGAACCAAGATCGCACCACTACCCTACAGCCTGGGTGACAGAGTGAGACTCTGTCTCAATAATAATAATAATAAATAAGAATCAAAGTTAAATAATAAAAAGCACTATCATGTGCATTATCTCATTTAATATTTTTGTGCCCTTATAAAGTGCCTTTATGATCCAATTGATATGTGATTTTGTAGTTAAAGAAATAAACTCCAGCAATCAAAAATCATTTTACAGCTCCAATTTTTTACTTGCATTTCTTGAAAATCCTGAGACTATTGAAATACATAGTTCTTAGTTATAAAAATACTTACAGACCAGGCGCGGTGGCTCACACCTGTAATCCCAGCAATTTTGGAGGCTGAGGCGGGCAGATCGTGAGTTCAGGAGATTGAGACCATCCTGGCCAATGTGGTGAAACCCCGTCTCTACTTAAACACAAAAAAAATTAGCTGGGCATGGTGGCACATGCCTGTAATCCCAGCTACTCAGGGGGCTGAGGCAGGAGAATCGCTTGAACCCCGGAAGCGGAGGTTGCAGTGAGCCGAGATCATGCTACTGCACTCCAGCTGGTGACAGAGGAAGACTCCATCTCGATTAAAAAAAAAAAAAAAAAAAAAACCTTCTAAATATCTTATAAAGATACTCTTTACTATCCATTTCCATCACCCACTATCAGTGGTCTAGATGATCTTTCTCCATGCTTCCCCTTAGGCTTCTCAACACCAAGTATAGTGTTGCTTCTCTCTCTCATCCCTCTCCTGTTCCCTCTCCCTTGCTTTGTGTGTGTGCCTGTATGTATATTTGTAGACATCAGTTTAGCCTTTCTCCAACACAGAAGAATCTATCATTTAGTGTGGATACTGGTGGTAGAGGGTGAGAGTTAAAAAGAAAATTTGACACTTTGGGAGGCCGAGGCGGGTGGATCACGAGGTCAAGAGATCGAGACCATCCTGGTCAACATGGTGAAACCCCGTCTCTACTAAAAATACAAAAAATTAGCTGGGCGTGGTGGCATGTGCCTGTAATCCCAGCTACTCAGGAGGCTGAGGAAGGAGAATTGCCTGAACCCAGGAGGTGGAGGTTGCGGTGAGCCGAGATCGCGCCATTGCACTCCAGCCTGGGTAACAAGAGTGAAACTCTGTCTCAAAAAAAAAAAAAAGAAAATTTGACCAGCAATTACCGGATCATTTTAGGCCAGCAGTATAGATTCCTGTGTTTTTTTTTTGTCACATCATGCTTATAATCATCTCAAAAGATAAAGTAATCATCATTACCCCAAGTTTATAGGTGAGAAAACTGATACTAAGAGAGAGATTTGCCCAGTCATCAACTCAGTGACAAAATCAGTACTTAGTTATTCTTTAAATTATGTAACAGCTACTTCCTAGTTATTAAGAAAAGTCCCCCGCCAGTCTTCCACTAAACGTCCTAGATTTTAACCAACTCCCTTCTGACACCAAAGGGCCCTGTAGTATTAAAATAATAAATTACTGAAAATATCTTGCCCACCATTGTGTCACATAAAGTCAATTCTAATACATGTCAATAGCAACTTGAGAATGAGAAGAATTCTTTGCTGTTATTTTTCATAAGATCATTTAAAGGCATTTGAGAACCTTAGCACATATTTCATTTTTTCTCATTTGCAGTGGCCCATAGAGCATTAACCACCGGTTATTCAAGGGTTGATTGCCAAGTTGGTGGTTTTCTTAAGTTTAATTTTATTCCCAGTTAGTTCGAAATATTGTATACTCATCACATACTGTTGTGATAGGCACTGTAGGAACACCCAGGTAAGCAAAGCAGTTTCCCCTATTTCAAATAACTTGCAATATGACAGGGGAGAGTTGATAGTACTAGACAGGGTTGCGTACGTGCTAAATAGGGGCATGGGTAACATGCATAATGAAATAATAAAATAGGACCTTTCTTAAGGGAAAGAGAAGAATTGGATGGAGAATTCAACAAATTGACTCTTCCTTAGAACAGTTATTGACTTTACTGAACTGTTAAAGGAAACTTTACATATGCTTATATATAAACAAAGAAATCACTTTTGTGTACTTCTATCCCAGGTCACTGCAAAGATATCTCTTTTTTTCATTTTCACGTTCATTATTGTGTCTGGATGAATTACTTCATATAGCTATTTTAATAAATGCCCGTATCCATGGCTAACGTGCATGTTTAGCCAACTAATGGTGCCTACATGGCAATACTCTTTTGTTCTTGTTTTGTAGAGTTGTTTAGAAAGTGATTTTACATCTGGTGGAGTTTGTCATTCCGATTCCAAGATGACAAGTAACATGGTAAGGATAAAGAGAGTCACAGAGTAGAAGAGATCTGTGGAATAGCCTGGCCCAGAGTGAGTATGATCTACAGAGTAGCCCAAAGAAAATAATCTTTTATAGAATCATTAGACCTGGAGAACTCATACCTGCAGGTAGAAGAACCCTAAGTCATTGTAGACAGGAGAGATCCTTTGTTTTTTATAAGCACTTGTATCCCAGGGACAGTAATAATACTGCTCAATATTTATGTAGCAGTTTACAGTTTAAAAAGCACTTTCATGGCCAGGCACAGTGGCTCACACCTGTAATCCCAACACTTTGGGATGCCAAGGCAGGTGGATCACTTCAGGACAGGAGTTCAAGACCAGCCTGGCCAACGTGGCATGCATAATGAAATAATAAATACACTAAAAATACAAACATTAGTTAGGCATGGTGGCGCCTGCTTGTAATCCAAGCTACTTGGGAGGCTGAGGTAGGAGAATTGCTTGAGCCTGGGAGGCAGAGGTTCCAGTAAGCCAAGATCGCACCACTACCCTACAACCTGTACTTCTTAAAAGCTGGAGTGGAAGCTTTTAAAAGCTGGAGAGAAAGACAGACCCCACAATTTTCTGTAAAACAAAACTGAAGGGAGAATGCTTGGGGTATTTAGGGGGATGATGCTGTTGCTACTATATTTTTGTTGTTATAATTCTGCTTTCCCACAACCCCACTGCTAGCTAAAAATATCTCAGCTCAACATGTTTTTGAGTGGTTACTACTGCATTGGCATCTCTTAAGCTCTGAAAAATCCCAAAATAAGTACGCTGTTGGGTTTGAAAATACAGTATATAGTTTTCTTTTTCTTTGCCTCTGGGAAGTTATAGAATCAATCCAGGAAAGAGGGGGAAAAATCATCACAAGGGAAAAATGAAAAACCTTTTATTTAAAAAAAGAGTCATGTTAATCCACCAAATAGTGGTTTCTCAAGGAAGATTCAGCATCATCCAGTGATCAGAAACCCATGCTAGAAGCACAGCAGCTAGAGGTTTTATTCTCTGTTCACTATACCTCTATTGATATTAAATTGTTCCATTGAAATATTTAAAGCTTCTCTAAAGATAGACATTTTCTTCCTAAACCATCCCTCCTATATTCTACTGTTATTATAATAGAGAGTTTTTGTTTGATTGATTGTTTTATTTTGTTCGTTTTTGAAAGGGGGCAAGAAAAAGACTCCAGTCTCAATTTCCTTTTCACTGGCTTTTCCTGCCATGTATTAACCCTATAAAATCCCGTATGCATCCCTCATTCAATTAATTTGCAGACAGTAGCCCTGGGATAGCCATCCCTAATCCAGTTGCCTGGATTGCCCTTCCTGAGATAACAGTCCGAGTCTTCCATTCCCCAAGCCTTGTTTCTGACATCCAAGGAGATGGAAGTTTCTGATCTGTCTTTGGATTGTCTCTTTACTCTTGAGTTATCATGGTCACCTGTCATTTCAGCTCACCTTTCTGGGGGAAAATGTGGAGGTCAAAGAGATGATGACTACGTGGACTCTCCAGAAAGGTATCCCACTCCTGGTGGTTAAACAAGATGGGCATTCACTCCGACTGCAACAGGAACGCTTCCTCAAGGGGCTTTTCCAAGAGGACGCTGAATGGAGGGTTCTGCAGGAAAGGTGACTACTTTTCTTCTTTTGGTCTAGCTTATCTTGTCTGAGTTTCCTCATTATTTCCTTAGCTTTCTCTCAGCTCCTCTGGCAACTTTGTAGAATGCTAGTTCCCTATAGGAAGCAGAGGCCTAAAGTAGACTTGATAAGATTTAAAGAGCTTCACATGACCCAGACTACTTTGTTCAGCAGCACCGTTCTTAGTGATTCCATCAGACTTGAGAACCTCAGCTCTAATGCTGATGGTTGGTAAACTTATGTTATAATGCACTGACTTCCAGGCCCTAATAAATCTTGTGATTGGTCTATACCTGGGAAGTATTACAACTGTCCTTCTTCTCATCAGAGAAAAGATACCCCTATGTGATAAATTAGATGCTAAGATCTCCTGTTGCCTTTCATTTTTCAGCAATAAACTATAAATATAATGTCTTAAAACATATGATGTTCTTAGTAATAATAAAAGCAAATCCAATTAAACACACTTGTCATCTTGTTCACCAGCCCATCCTGAAAAAAACCTAGTAAAGACTACTGGAATCAAGTAACACACTGTCCACGTTTATCTGAACTATTGCTACTAACCATGGGTTCTTGGGCTGTCTATGCAATAGAAATTGACATGAGGCCAAAAGAGTTTTCCCAGACAAGGCTTCATTGGAGCTTATGCCCAGACATAAGGGAGGCAGCATGAGAGAGAGAGAGAGAGAGAGAGAGAGAGAGAGAGAGCGAGAATGAGAATTCCTTGACTGATTTTTCAAAAAGAGCTGGTAGAAACTTTTCATTAGACAAAGGAATTGGTATTGGGGTAGGGTATGCAGTTTGGACTGGGCAAAGCACGTGAGGGATAAGGTATGCAGGTAAGCAGTACCTGGTTGCTACAATTATCTTGAGTAATGAGCTACCTGGTAATCTGGCTAGAAGCAACAAGGCTGAAAAGTTGTTCAGCATTCCTTCCCTAAGTCGGACACTCCACAACCTTGGTTATCTCCCAAGGCTAGCTCCTGGAATTAAAATGAATGTTTCAAACATTAAATTAAAAGGCATGGTCCAAACATTATGGCATCAGTGAGGTAGTGGTGTAGGTTTGTGATCATTGGGGATATAGGAAAGAATGCTGTAGTGGAAGTGAGCTGACGCCAAGCCCCCTTCCTGCTCTGTCTCATTGTTAGCCCTGTTAGTAAGATGAATAAGGTTAATTTAAAATGAAATAATCCAAGTGAATCTTTTCTGGTTCTTATGATGATAATTTCGTTTTTAAAGAACTTAGCTATCAATTCTAGAATTTTTCTGAAAATTGGAAACAGTTAGAGACCTTTAACACATAAAATTACTGGGGCATTTTAGGGGGTTGTTTAATCAGTTACGCATTTCCAATCCAATGGCAACTCTTATGGCACTTCTTACGTATGCATCCTTCTATTTTTCTGTGTGTTGTTTTGAAGTATGAACTTCAGAGAGTTTAGACAAGTTTCAGCTTGGTAAACCAGACTGAATAATTTAATGTCTGCTTCATTATTGGGAAAGCAGGACTCACAATTATGTAACTTATCAAAATGTCATGAGAGAGTTCAACACTGTGGCTGACCCAGAATAACAAAGATCTTCTACAATAATCTGTATTTTTCCTCCTTCTGGGACATTATTTAGACAATTTTTATAAAATGATGGCCCTCTGATTCATGCCTATCCAAATTCATGAAGTGCTATTCTCCCTGTCTCTACCCCCAGATGTGTTTATCTAGAAAAATCCCTTTTCTTCTGGAGCCAAGATGCACTGATGGATCCCAATCTATTAAGTCTTAGATATTCATCTATGTGCGTTTTTTCTTAAATCTTCTTCTTTTTTATTTTTTTGAGACAGAGTCTCCTGGAGTATGATACAATCTCAGCTTACTGCAACCTCCGCTTCCTGGGTTGAAGCAATTCCCCTGCCTCAGCCTCTCAAGTAGCTGGGATTACAGAGACCTGCACCACCATCCTTGGCTAATTTTGTGTGTGTGGGTTTTTGTGTTTGTTTGTTTTTTTTGGTAGACATGGGGTTTCGCCATGTTGGTCAGGCTGGTCTCAAACTCCTGACCTCAAGTGATCCGCCCGCCTCAGCCTCCCAAAGTGCTGGTATTAAAGGCATGAGCCACTGTGCCTGGCCTTTTCTACCTTTTTGTGTAAAGATTTCAGGTTTTCTGGTTAATTATCAGTACTCTGGGGGTAGCACGAGGATTATTTTTCCTGACCCTTACTAGACTAGAGAGAGTCAGAGTATGTTGTCTCCTTTACTGCTTTACATTTTTCTAAGGATTAATGGACACTTCCTCACTTACTCTTCTGTCTGTTTTATACCTGTTGGTGTTATCAAGCACATGATTTTACATGTGCAGGATTACTATAGCTAACATGGCTTGATTTAATAGAGGAAATAAATTCTAGAGGCTGCTAGAAAGTTAACCAGAAAAAGATAGCCAATTTCTCCTATTTACTACAGCAGAGCCATTGAAAAGTAACTGAGACCTTTTCCTCTAATCCATTCTGCTTTTCTGCTGTCTGGATTTAGCTCTCCTACAGGTCCTAGGCTGTAGCATTTTTGACTATTTATTGCAGTCATTCAGCAGTTGGGAGGTTGGATGTGAGTAGTTCTGTTGAACAAAAGGATAAGTAGAAAATCATACTGAAGTACGTTCTTTACTTCTTAAGGCTTTCCCTACAGCTTTGGTGTACTTATTTGAATCAGTAGCAGGCTGTCAAGAGTTTTTGAAAATGTGAAAGGAATATTGGGTTTTCTTTCTCATGCAAACAGCAGAATATGTTATGGTATGAGATTAGGACCGCAAATGACACAAGTATTTGTGGCAGAGTTCAACCAGGTAGATATGGCTGCTCCTTTATAAGTATAATGGAATCCATTTTTGCATACTTAAGGGTATGCTAGTCTTAGCCTATAAAATTTATGGGACCACTTGTGGGCGGTGTGAAGGATGATGGGTACTTAGGGGCCTTTTAAATGTGAAAAAATCACAGCAGCATTCTTTTAGTCTGTAACTATCTTTACTCTCTAACATAGGTACCTGTGGCATATCCCATTGACCTACTCCACGAGTTCCTCTAATGTGATCCACAGACACGTTCTAAAATCAAAGACAGGTAATGAACTAATTAGCCAAACAGGCATTTCAATGTTGAAATTAAACATGTGTTGGGCTATTTGAGGGAAAGATACAATAAATAAATCTAATAACAAAAGATTTATATTTGAGGGAAGTTGTCATTTATCCATATGTTATTTACTAAAATAACTCTTTTAGTAAGAAAGTCTGGATTTTTCATTCAGTAGGAAGTTCTCTTGTGCATTTATCATTTAGAGATAGACTATTTACATCAAGAAATGACAGAAATCTATCTTATGTCCTATAATACCCACTAATCCATTTTTACAGGTTATACATGAGGCAAAACATGTTCAGTGGAAAAAAAGCATGTACTTTAAAATTGATTGCTTCTGGATTCAAATCCTCACTCTCTCACCTATTAGATGTGTGACCTTAAGAAAATTTACAAACTTATCCTGAGCTTCAATTTTTTCATCTCATGTTGGATAAGCACTAAGCCTGACAGAATTGTTGAGGGAATATTATAATGTAATTTTACCCCTGAGTATAATGTATGCTGTATTAAAAATACATAGTATAATTTTAATTTTCCTCTAAACACTTTAATAAAATTTGAGAGGTTTTTCATCACAAAGTCATGCTCAACCTGGAGTCCTTCTTTTACTGAAATGAACAAATGTATCACCTATTCACTCATACATATTTCAATGACTAGTGACTAAACCTTGAGATAAGGACACCAGCAAATGAAGCCAAATTCCCGTCGTGCTAGTCATCTGGCTCACTGGGCTGTTGCATGCCTGTTAGACCTGCATAGACAATTTTGGAGAACAAATTCAGCAGTCCTATTTCTATGAATTAACTTATTTATAAATTTAATAAGGCCATCATCCACAAAAGAAATCATCCAGTGGACTATGAAAATGAATATCATTATGACTCTCCCCAGACTTTGTCTTCCCATTGATTTATAAGTGATTGGATTAACAGTTGTGGAGATGTTCCTAATGTGTATGTTGATAATAAAATACCTATACCAATTTTATCCTCTTAGATATTCTGGATTTACCTGAAAAGACCAGTTGGGTGAAATTTAATGTGGACTCAAATGGCTACTACATCGTTCACTATGAGGGTCATGGATGGGACCAACTTATTACACAGCTGAATCAGAACCACACACTTCTCAGACCTAAGGACAGAATAGGTCTGATTCATGATGTGTTTCAGCTAGTTGAGTAAGATAACATTTCTTCTGTCTTTGTGGGAAATGACTGATCCATAACAAGATGTGCTAGACTTCAATATCGAATGTTCAGCAGTGGTCATTTATTAGATATGGATTTGAATAGAATTCAAACACTGACCACTAGGCCAAAGGCTACCCACTAATAAGGTATTTTGACTCATACAGTGTTTATAAATATAATCCAGTATTTTAAAATGTGGAGAACTTTACATAAAAATCCTGACTTTTTGACTCTCTTTAAAATGATATTTGGCAACTGTGGGTCTTTATCCTGTGGGCCCCAGGACAGCTGTAAAGGAGGGTGCAGTGGGCCAGACTCTATTTAGGCGGCGCCTACTCTCTCCCAAGCACCAGTCTCAAACGGCCTGTTTCATTCACTTCGTGTGGACTCTCTAAGTATTTGACCTTTTGACCCCACATTTAAAATGTATTTATGATAGTAGCTGCTACACCAAATACCTGTGTAATCTCTTAAAGAAAAAGCATAAATATAGTCGTAACCTTTATAATTTTAAATGGATTGTTATGAAATCTGTTCATTACTCACACTGGAGAAATTAGTATGAAATTTGTAGGGAAATGAAGTAACAATTGGCTGTTTGCTTTTATTCCTCTCTAGACTTTCCTGGAAGGACAAAGTGTTTTCTTTCCTTTTCTATTTCTATTATCAACAGAATAATGTGTAGAATAAATCAGGTTACAAGATCACCATTGGGTGGAGGGAACTGAGGATCAGGAAGAATATTGTATATTGTAAGCTTTCTCTGTTCTGAGAATTACTGTGATGCACTCACTTTACTCAATGTGACATATAATTTCCTTTCAGAAGCTTGTTTAGTTCAAATTGAGTGAAAGTGACCAACAGGACATCTCTTAGGCAACATTTCTCGGTACACTAAAATCCTCTAGTTAGAAAGGAAAGAGGAAGTGAGGCTTAATCCTCAGTCCCATGGGTCTCAGGAACATCTTGGAGGCATAGCTCATTAGAGGCCAAAATTAGGAAAAACACTATCCTACATATGAGTGAATGCATGAAAGATGAGCTAAGAAGCAGGCTATTGTTAGTTCAAGGTGGTTTGCCTGCTCAAAGGAGAAGCTCTGAGTAGACTGAAGAGAAGGTAGATTAACAATACAAGACCAGGAAAATAATGGAGAATATTGAGAACTCAGCAAATTAACCTTTTAGGTAGTTGTGAAGTCTTTTTTGCTGTTGCTAGCCTATGCATTTATGATTGCCTAAATTAGCAGGAGGAATAACTTGCAGTTATTGATGCATTGTTAGAAAACCAATCATCTTTTCTTCACTAAGTAGACAGATTAATGAGGTTAAGAATACAAATTTTATATGAAAACAGAAGATTTCAAGTACTACCTCTTCACTTACTAATTTTTTGAGCTTAGGCAAGTTTTTTTTTTTTTAACCTTTTTAAGCCTAAATTTTCCAGTCTTTAAAATTTTTGTCATAATAATATTTAACATACAGGGTTTGGAGGATTGTATAAGGTAATGAAGATAAAGGAGGAAGTGCAGTACCTATTCAATAACTGTCAGCTGTTAACATTATTAGTATTATCTAATACAAATTATTTGAAATGTTATCAGATGAATAGGAAGAGGAGGTAACAACATAGAAAAGTACATTTCAAATAATGTGAAGTTGGGAAAAAACCAGAATGTAAGTTTGTGTATTATTATGTTTGTTTGTAACTACATATGAAAAAAAATAAGTGCAAAGAGGAAACAAAACCTGAAGGAATTATTTTAAAATGCTCTTGGTGAGTGTGCAGGGTATTGAAATTATGAGTCTTCTCTAATTTCCAGTTGTTTTATAATTTGTTTATATTTACTTATATTACTTTTATAACGAAAGTAATTTGTATAAGGAAACAATTTAAAGTTCTCATAATAGATAAAACTAAATAAAATATTTTTACTTGCTGTTCTCTCTCAATACTATAAACCACCTTCCTCCTTGCTTTATGAAACATCTATTTAAGAATTGAAGGAGGTCAGGTACGGTGTCTCACGCCTGTAACCCCAGCTCAACCTTTGGGAGGTTGAAGTGGGCAGATCACTTGAGGCCAGGAGTTTGAGACCAGCCTGGGAAACATGGCGAAACTCTGTCTCTACTAAAAATACAAAAATTAGCCCAGTGTGGTGGTGCATGCCTGTAATCCCAGCTACTCGGGTGGCTAAGACATGTGAATTGCTTGAAGAGGCTGAGGTTGCTGTGAGCCAAGATTGCACCACTGAACTCCAGCCTAGGTGACCAAATGATACTCTGTCTCAAAAGACAAACAAACAAAAACGGAATTAAAGGAAACAATAGTGATCATGTTTAGTTTGGAGACAGAAATTTTTTTTCTTTTTAATTAAATTTTTTTTTTTTTCTTTTGGTAGAGACAGGGTCTCCCTATATTGTCCAGGCTGGTATTGAACTCCTGGCCTCAAGCACTTTTCCTGCTCAGCATCCCAAATTGCTGAGTTTACAGGCATGAACCATCATGCTTGGTCTAAATCAATCTTTACAAGAGGTGATACTATTTAGTTCTTTAGTGGACAAGACATGGTTACCCGTTATCCAAGGGTTGGCTCCAGACCCATTCTCCTAACCACGACACAACACTGTCTCTTTTTTCTTCTTCTCCTTCGTCTTCCTTTTATTTATTTATTTATTTATTTATTTATTTATTTATTTTGTGTGTGTGGGTCTCGCTCTGTCACCCAGGCTGGAGTACAGTTGTGTAATCATGGATCATGGTTCACTGCAGCCTCAACCTCCTAGGCTCAAGTGATCCTCCCATCTCAGCCTCCTGAGTAGCTGGGACTATAGGCACAGACCATCACACCCAGCCAATTTTTAATTATTTTTTGGTAGAATGGGGTCTGCCTATGTTGCCTAGGCTGGTCTCAAACTTCTGGGCTCAAGCAATCCTCCTGTCTCAGCTTCCCCAATTTCTGGGATTATGGTTGTGAGCCATCACACCCAGCATGGAGACAGAATTTGGTGCAAGAATGGATATCTATTTTAGTTAGGTTTTCATAGGTTTTAAATGTTATTTAAAGACATGAGCCTTGTATGAGTTAAGTGGAATTGAAATGACAACTTCAATTTGCTTATAGAAAAAGCTATATTTGCTTATTTTAGTCTCACATCTTGAAAATAAACCCCCAAATTGGTGCTTCAAGAATATAATTTTATTTCTCAAAGGTACAATCTAACCAAAATTGGATACAAGTAAGTAGGTGTCAATTTTTACGGTTGAGCTAAAGTTTATGCTTATATATGTGTTTATTCTTTAAGCTAAGCAAACATTCAGATAACATTCTGTGCCTTGCTTGAAGCACAGCTGATGAGTGGCAGAGCTAAGATTTAAACCAAATGGTCTAGCTATAATGACCTACTTCTGTTATTTTCCTCTATTTCATATTTGTTTTAATGTTAAGAATATTAAAAACTATAAGTTATGCACAAACCACTGACATTTGTTTTATACCTCAGTGCAGGGAGACTGACCCTGGACAAAGCTCTTGACATGACTCACTACCTCCAACGTGAAACAAGCAGCCCTGTACTTCTCGAAGGCCTGAGTTACTTAGAATTGCTTTACCGCATGATGGACAGAAGCAATATTTCAGATGTCTCTGAAAACCTCAAGGTTTGTGTTGCTTTTAGAAAATGCATTAAGTAAATACACAGTGTCTGGAGTATCAATGAGGCTCAGTCTGTTTTGTGTGAAGTCCTTGAGGTTAAATCATAAAGCAGCTTGGGAGACTGGCTGATAGCATGTAATGGTCAATGACCCTTGTTCTTTATCATTGCCAATGCTAAGAGCTAGATAACAGGATCACGTGCAAAGCATCTCTACTAAAGTTGATTTTATTTTATATCCATTGATATTGCCCTTTCAGGTAGGAAATTAAACCATGTTTTAATGCAAAAACTCTGTTTCCTACGTGTGGTAGGTAGGAGCCAGAAAAAGAGAAGAAAAATACAAAGATACATTATTTAGGCAGAAAGTTTAGAGTTGAGCCCTTTAGATGGGCAAGAGCTGTGTGAAGAACTAAATTTAGCCTCTCTGTTAACCATCTCATATTTTCTGCAGCGTTACCTTCTTCAGTATTTTAAGCCATTGATTGACAGGCAAAGCTGGAGTGACGAGGGCTCAGTCTGGGACAGGATGCTCCGCTCTGCTCTCTTGAAGCTGGCCTGTGACCTGAACCATGCTCCTTGCATCCAGAAAGCTGCTGAACTCTTCTCTCAGTGGATGGAATCCAGTGGAAAATTAAAGTAGATCTAGACTTCTGTCCTACTCTTTGTTCTTTTCTCTTTGATGTAAAAGTCTTTGATCAAGCAAGACATTAGATCTAAAACCTTTTAGTGAGAATGGAAAAAAAAAAAGCATGCTGAGAATTACAAATCCTGTTCATGTTGTAAGTGCTCAATAGATTTTGGGGAAAGCAAAGTTTAGGTGTCTGTGGGGAGACCTAATAAACATTGGCATGATAACAGAAAGATAGCCATGTAGTAGAGGCAGGGAAGCCCAATCTCCAAAAAAGCCCATCTTTTTAAAAATAAAAAAGATGTTAGAAGAAGCAATATGAAATATATATGCAGTTAAAACATTTGATAAAACTCATTTTAAAAGAGGGTGTGTTACTTTTTAAAAAAATTTGTTCACTGCCTTATCAACCAACGCTAAAGGTCAAGCCATAGCCCAAGTCATACCTTTGATTGGAAATGGATGACTTTGGCCATCTAAATGATGTGAATGGTGGCAAAATTAATTCTAGTGATGACTGTAATCAGGAAGATGCCCAGCGATCAAATGCATTATGTTGCAGTTCAGTTGAGCAGCTGTAACCCAAGATACTGACAGAAGCCACTCAATCTTTTTAATGCAAGCCTTGATTTCTGTCCAACACATGCCTTTATATCATTATTTTTTAAATCTGACTCTAGAGTTGGATGTTTTAGGAAGTCAAATTTATATACGAATTAAGGAAAGTTAGTGTTCTTAAAAGAGAAGAAAAAATTTACAATTTTGGTACCATGAAATGTAATGGTGTCCATTTTTCCTGTGCTGGCCAGGTGCAGTGGCTCACACCTATAATCCTGAATTTTGAGAGGCCAAGGCGGGTGAATCACTGAGGTTAGGAGTTCAAGACCAGACTGGCCAACATAGTGAAACTCCTCTCTACTAAAAATGCAAAAATTAGCCGAATGTGGTGGTGCATGCTTGTAATCCCAGCTAGTTGGAAGGCTGAGGTGGGAGAATTGCTTGAACCTGGGAGGCAGAGGTTGCCATGAGCCAAGATCACTTCACTGCATTCCAGTCCAGGCAACAGAGAAAGGCCCTATCTCAAAAAAAAAAAAAGAAAAAGAAATCTTCCTGTGCTAAATTGTTATAAGATGGTATCATAACTTCTCTCCTTATAACTAAATCTCAGTGAGACTTTTGAAATCCTTTCTTAAATTTTTCCTTTTAAAAACGTAATTCAAGCTTTCTTCTTTTTGGACTTTTTTCCTTGTTGGGATTCAAGCCTGAAATCAGTTTTAGAAAAAAAAATCTTTTTTTATTTTTTAAGTCTATTCTTCTCTTCTTTTTGTTTCTGTTTGAATGGGTTGTACAAATGAAACTAAAATGTAAACATTCTGCTGCCCTATACAACATAGAATAGTATTATTACATCTTTATACTAGTTACAAGAAGGATCATCTTAACCTGCAGTAACCCATGTACAGTAGATACAAGTGTTCAGCATGTTGAACATACCTATGAAAATATTCTAGGTAAAGCTTATTTATGCTTGTAATCAAAAATACATAATGAAATATTTTTGTTTTTTTCAAACTCCAAGATGGCTAGTATGAATTTTAATGAAGAATTTCCTCTCATAAATTAATTGATTACTTCATTCATTGGTAGATTTGGAATATAACTAGTTGCATGTTTCCTTTATGCCAGCCAGGCATTGCTGTAGGAGCTAAGGATAAAGTGGTGAACAAAACAACCATGTGGCCTCACTTCAGGGAGCTTACAATGTGTTTGTTACCATTTTTTATAAATTTGTTCAGCAAAATACACTAAAATGAAAACAATATGTATTATAATTTAAATATTCTATCTTTATTACATGATTAAAATGTCACTTGGAATGTTTAAGTACATGAGTAGAGTGGAAATAGCACAAGCACGAGAATCACAGGTTTAAATCCCATCTGGAAAATGGCAAATTGTGCCATCTTAGGCAAGTTACTTAACTTTTCTGAGATTTATTTCTGCTTTAAAAAAATCAGGATAATAACTATATCAGTGGGTAGCTTTTGACAGTTAAATAAGATGTATGGAGACTAGTACAATCTCTACCACATGGTCCCTTCGTGACAAATGCAGATTTCTGGCTCCCTCCCAGTGCTCTGCATTGTGTTTTTCTGAGAAATCAGTAATAGTGCTCGTTGATCTATTGACATTTGGGATTAAAAATCATATGCCCATTTAGAATAAAAACTGGTTAATGTCCTCAAGATAATAAAAAATAAAATAATGGTATCTTTTGTAGAAGGACAGAAAATAATTTCACTGCATCTTACCAGTTTTAAAAAATTATAAAATAACTAGACCCTAATGAATGGTACTAAATTGAGATTCTCTAGGCCTGGAGAGACAGGTAACTCCCAGACAGGCCTTAGAAAATGCTTTCAACTGCACATGAGGCTAAGTGCAGTGCCTCATGCCTGTTAGGCCAATGGGTGAGATCACTTGAGCCCTGGAATTCGAGACCAGCCTTGTCAACATCATGAAAACCAGTCTCTACAAAAAAGTTTAAAAGTTAGCCAGGCATGGTACTACGTGCCTATAATCTCAGCCACTCAGGAGGCTGAGGCTACCATGAGCTATGATCACGCCAGTGCACTCCAACCTAAACAACAGAATAAGACCCTGTCTCAAAAAAAAAAGAAGAAGAAGAAGAAATGCCCTCAACTTGGTGATAAAGCATCAAGTAATCATCTTTTTAAAAAATCTTAAAGCATCAATAGTGGTTATTAAATGATAGAATTTATATAAACCATTTGTTTTGTATTTCAGAAATCTTTTATATTTGTTGATTACATCAATTTTCTATTTTCACCTCAGAGTAGGTTAAAATTTTATGCTTATTTTTCTTGCTAACATTTTATCATAAGTAGGAGATAAAACACAAATAATTTGCAGAGTCAAAGAACATAAAATATTTGTATGAGTTTGGCAGAGAAAAAGATTTAATGCATTGAGTACTAGAAATAATTCAGAGATGATTCTGTTACGGGCCTTAAAATTTTAATTAGAAAAAAAAGTTTTTCTTTCATAAACTTTTTTCTTCATTTTTGTGCTTGCTATTACAGTATACCAGCAGATGTTTTAAAGATTGTGTATTCTGTGGGTGCTCAGACGACAGAAGGATGGAATTACCTTTTAGAGCAATACGAACTGTCAGTGTCAAGTGCTGAAAAAAACAAAATTCTATATGGTTTGTCAACGAGCAAGCATCAGGAAAAGTTACTGAAGTAAGTTCAATAATTAAATTGTTATAATAAACTGACACAAATTCAGTGAAGTCACTAAAACTTCAGCCACCAGTTTTAAAGGTGTAAGGTAATTGAATCAGAATGTATATGGCTTTAACTTTCAGAAAAGAATATATTGACAAAATGCAAATAGTGAAAACAGGTATTCCCTAGTTATTAATCAAATGACTGATACTAGACAAATGGTTGTGTTTTATCTTCAGAACCTTGAAGGAAAATTATTGTTGTAAAAATACATTCTTGTGTATAAAATGTGTACACAATGCTAATCAAAGTTCTTTGAAATAATAAGTAAACATTTTTGCTAGGAACAAAATAAAAATTATTTCTAAAAAAAGTAAAAGTTTAATTGGAACATTAAAAATGTTAGCCACTAGAAAATTTATTATTGTTTTGGGAATTATACTTTTATCATGCCTCTTTCTGTTCTTTTAAATTATTGGTAGCTTGAGTTAATGTCCATGTACATAAAACCTACTATTTAGAAACGAATGCTTTTTCTTTCTTCAGGTTACTTGAACTAGGAATGGAAGGAAAGGTTATCAAGACACAGGACTTGGCACCTCTACTTCATGCAATTGCCAGAAATCCAAAGGGGCAGCAATTAGCATGGGATTTTGTGAGAGAAAACTGGACCCATCTTCTGAAAAAGTTGGTATTCATTTACATCCAGTGTGTGTTCTTCCATGCAGATGTCTCAGTTGCCCAAACCAAGTGTAATTAAATGTTTCTCAAGGCATATAAATGATACCATTTGTATCCAAATAGTTCAATGAAGTCAACTTTGAAACTCCCTAGCCCAAATTATCCTATCCAGGAGTGTGGGAGAGACATTAGAATAAGGGAAGGGGGAAACAGCCTTCTCTCATTCAGTCCAGGCAAAAAAACCTCTGGGAGCAAGTCCAAGTTGAATTAAATGCAGTCATCAGCCCCCTCCCACCATCCCTTCTTGGCTGTCTCCTGAGCCCAGAAGAATCTTGAGATGTCTTATAGAGTGCATCACACATATGTGGCCTCCTTTGCTAATGCTGTTTTGTGCTGGGGGAAAGCCTCAGGAATTTTGGTAAGATCTACTCTTCACCCCTAGAGCCCCTGTGGAGGTGGCACAGTGGAGACCTTGGTGCAGGTGAAAGAAACCCGGTCAGGAGTGCCTGGGGAGATCTCCCTCCAAATTGTTTTGGTTCTGTCTTTTCTGGGATTTCAACTTTGGGAAGAACTAGAACTCACTTCAATATGTCCCTGGGTCTAAAATAACCAATAATGATTAGATTTTGTTGGAAGGTATAAGACAGCATTGCTGCTTTCACTCTTTCTCTCTCTCTCTCTATCTCTCTCTCCCCAAATCTAAAAATGTCATTTATGACTTGTATGGAAATATCTTGAATCAGAGGGGTCTGATTTGCTTTGTTTATGTCAGGATCAGTTAGCATCCCTGATGTCATTAATTCCTAGTTCGTTCTCTCTCACATCATAGCTATGGAAGGTTTAGAGTTCTCAGGCAGCTTTTTTTTTTTTGCTTATCTCAGATAAGCAAAAAGTGCATTTCCACTCCTCTCCCAAATGCTCATTGATATCCACATGAGACCAAATAGAAACTGCTTTAATATGTATGTGTGTTTGTGTGTGTTTCCTTTAAAACTCTACTCGAACCATTGATTTGTCTGTTTGCATGATTGTCATTTTCCCCCTGAAATGATCAGACTTTTCCTGCAATGTTGTGGATTTTATTTTAAACTGGAAATGAAATCCAACCATGTGCAGAGCCTAGGTTTGGAACCATTTTTGTTCTGAGCTGTAACTATCCTCTGCTTTATCAGCATGAATCACTTTGACCCATGGTACAGTACAAATTTTCCATATATAAAACATTGGGTTGAAGGATGCATTCTGTGGCCATGAATGAGAATTCAAACAAGTAACATTGCCCCACTAAACACAATGTTTAAACATGGTGGTATCCAAAATGGGATACTGAAGTATGCAAGAAATGCAATACATTAGAGTGTCTATTATTTCTCATCTCATTTTAAATTTTATATTGTTATAAATTTATAAACATAAATGATATATAGTATAAAAAATTAAATATATTTCTTATTTCATGCTTTTAATTTTTATCATATCTTAATACATGCATATAATTTGTAAATAAAAATATGCATATTGGGAAGTTTTTGCTCAAAAAGTCTTTACTGACAGGAATATGTAATGAAAAAAAGTAGGGAACACTGCTTTAAACAGAAACATAAATTTAAACATAAATATTTCAGAATAACTAACATATTTCCCAAAGAAGCTGTATCTATGTTTTCATTGTATAGTAAAATTTGCTGTTTCACAGCTTTAGAATTGTATTGGATGAATGTTATTATGGTAATTAACAGTATCTATTATAATACACAAGCTTATCACATAGTTATTAACATACATTAAAAATATAATACAGGATATAATAAACATAAGGTCAGTATTTCTATGACCTAAATCTATGGTGTTTTTTTTTATTTTCAGATTTGACTTGGGCTCATTTGACATAAGGATAATCATCTCCAGCACAACATCTCACTTTTCTTGCAAGGATAAATTGCAAGAGGTTTGTGACTTACTGTTGTTAACAATTTCAAAATAAATGTTCAAATTGTAGAATTGAAAGTAAGCTTAGATACAATCTGATTTGAAGTTCTCATTTTATTTTTTAAAAAAGATTTTTGTCCATTGCCATCTAGCAAGTAAATGGAAGGGGCAGGATTGAAACCTGACTCTTAAAATACATGTATTTGTAGTATTCAAAATGAAAATAGACTTGAGAGATAAGTCCTTTTGTATTATTTATTTCATATTGTATTATGATGCAGGAGTGATTATATTAAAGTTTGGAGGCATACTTAATGATCTTTTTAACAAACTATTGTTGGTAATTTTAGTTGTCTTTAAAAAAAAAGCATTCTAGTCTTTGCATCTTCTTTTCACAATAAATCTTGAATTTATTTACCCTTTAAGCAAATTCATGATTCCAGACCTTAAATCCCAGCTTACCGTTTACTCTGTGACTTGGGTAAATCGCTTAACATCTTTTATTTCTTTTTTTTTTTTTTAGAAAGAGTCTCACTCTGTTTCTCAGGCTAAAGTGCAGTGGCACAATCTTAGCTTACTGCAACCTCCACTTCCTAAGTTCAAGCAATTCTCTGCCTCAGCCTCCCAAGTAGCTGAGATTGCAGGCACCCACCACCATGCCTGGCTAATTTTTTTGCATTTTAAGTAGAGACGGGGTTTCACCACCTTGGCCAAGCTGGTCTTGAACTCCTGACCTTGTGATCCACCCTCCTCAGCCTCCCAAAGGGCTGGGATTATCCCGGTCATCAATTAACTTCTTTAGCCACAGTATGTTCACTTGTAAGATGAGAATTTATAATTTTTGTCTTATTTTACCTATTGTTTGAAGATAAAGTGAATAATTATGCAGAAAAGAAAATAATCTTTTAGAGGTGGCAGAGAAATGCCTATACCTATGTGTATATAATTTGTCTGGCTAATTTATTTTTTATTTTTCGTAGAGTTAAGGGTTTTGCCATGTTGCCTAGGCTGGTATTGAACTCCTGAGTTCAATTGATCTGCCCACGTTTGCCTCCCAAAGTGCTGGGATTGCAGGTGTGAACCACCACACCCGGCCAACACAAAGCGTTTTGTGAACTGTCAGTAATTTTTTCTTGCATATTTTACAGGTTAAACTATTTTTTGAATCTCTTGAATCTCAAGGATCACATCTGGATATTTTTCAAATTGTTCTCGAAACCATAACCAAAAATATAAAATGGCTGGAGAAGAATCTTCCCACTCTGAGGACTTGGCTACTGGTTAGTACTTAAATAGTCAATAGAAAGAGCACATCAGACGTGACTGCCTACATAAAGTCAAACAGAGTAACAGCAGCAAAGATCAAGTCAAGAGCTATGGATAGTTTGTGTAACCAATAAGAAGTCTCAAGAAATCAGCCAGTGCAGCTGCCTGCTCTCTGCTCTCATATCCAGCCAAAAGATGCATGATGATAGAGTGGTGGGGGAAGGGCAGTTTGTATCCTATTTAAAAGTAAATTTCCTGAATAATGGATATATGTGGAGATACAGACATAGATATATAGATATACCGGTAATTGTTTTGCCTCAAATGACTTTCTCCATTGCTTCACGCTATGCCACTATTTTGCTTCTTTAATTATTTTTAACATTGCTTAATATCCTGTAGTTTGCCAAACCAGTTTTCCAAACAAGGAAAATTAGCCAATACACTAAAAAAAAAAATTATCTTTCATTTGTATCCCTTTATCCCCTCACTCTCCCTCATCTTCAACTCAACCTGAACTAAACAGTTTATTTAATTTTTACCATTCATGAAAAATCTGATACAAACTATGAAAGGGCAAGGATCAGGAAACCAGAGACTTCGTCACCAAATCTCAAAGTAATAGAAACTAGATGTCAGGGTTTATCAAGGAAGCCAGGAAGGCCTTTTGGTTTCAAGCCTTACATTCATGAAGAACCCCAAGGCTAGATTTTTTAGAACATTCCAAATGAAGTTGAATCTGCCCTCACAGAGATACAAGAGGGAAAGGAATACAATTCATACCCTATTGCATTTTTTTTTTTTTTTTTTTTTTAGACACAGACTCACGCTCTGTTGCCAAGCTGGAGTGCAGTGGCGCAATCTTGGCTCATTACAACCTCCGCTTCCTGGGTTCACGTGATTCTCCTGCCTCAGCCTCCTGAGTAGCTGGAATTACAGGCATCCGCCACCATGCCCAGCTAATTTTCATATTTTTAGTAGAGAAAGGGTTTCACCACGTTGGCCAGGATGTTCTCAATCTCCTGACCTCCTGCCTGTCTCGGCCTCCCAAAGTGCTGGAATTACAGGCATCAGCCACCGCAGCCCACCATGCTATTGCATTTTAAATAAATCTTTTGAAATTTGCAGAGTTAGATTGCATTGTATATTTTGGGTTAAATCATAATTGAATGTAAATATTTAAATGCATCACCATATTTTATAACCCAGCTTTAGCATTTCTTCAGATTTTACCTCCTTCTTTTAAGGGAGCCTCTTGCTCTCTGAAACGACCTGCTAAATGCTTCTCTTAATTATTTGAATAAGGTAGTCTGGAATAAATAAAGAAAAGGTCACTCTACAGGCAGACAGCAAACTTAATCAATTTGTGATCCTATATATGAGTCAGTATGCAAATACAAATAAGTTTTAGAAAGACTTGAAACAATATATAAATGACTGACATTTGCATTATTTAGGAAAGCTGGGGATACTGGGTCAAGAGGGGAAGGTGTTATCCAAGCCACTTTGGAGCAATATCATGAAGATCAGTGTTAGTTCCATATACCTTTCTTTGATTCCACAGTCAGAGATAGAATACAGTTTGGGTGGGCCATGGATGTGCCCCAATACAGTACACATTTTTGTTAAATTTGTTTTCAGATCATTTCATGTAATCTTTGAAATGTCTTTCACTCTAACATTGATGTGATGGTGGACCTACCATGGTGTATATAATGTCTATATCACTTGTTTTTAATAACACCTGTAGTGATATCTTATAGAATTACATGTATTTTAATGTAAGGAAATTGAAAAAGTAAAAAATACTGTTTTTTCCACCAAGATAATATGTAAATTAAGCAGCA